TTTGCGTTTTATTGTGGACGGGAAACATTTTGAAAACGGAGCTTTTCGAAAACGATGACGTTACGATAATCATGTGATTTCCCTGACCGAGTCTTCCTCAAACACGAATCCAAAATGATCGGTGAGCGTGGTGTGGACGGAAAACATTTGACACGTTTTCGGAGTGAAATCTCTGGCATAGTGTGGACAGGGACTAAGAGCGTCAAAACAACCACAGGATAGTCAATTTAATATTAATTTAACTTAAATCAAAGGCAAGAAAGTTTGCGAGTTTTGCCAGTATATTTGACAAAAACTGCAAGATGTGCCAAATCAGATTGTTAATAGAAAACTAGTAATGACAAAACCGATAATTTTTTTTTCGAAAATGACAAGTTAGTTTATGCTTATAAAATTAGTGAAATCATGAAAATCATTCAAACAAGATGTTTATCTGATACATAAATTGTTAGCATTAACATAATCCAACTAAGGCTCCCACCTTACGAACCTTGGAACAAAGAAAGGGCAGGAAATATTTTGAAGAAAATACAAGCAATTTAGACACACCCACAAGGCAAAAAAAGATCAAAATCTGTGCGCTTTCTGTGACTGAATGCGGAAATAAGTGGGTTTTATTTTTTGAGATCTCATCCGAGTGAAATCTCATAAGTAAGACTTTTATAGAACTATCACGATATTAAACGGTGAAGAAACAAAGTTAAGTAATTTCAAAAGCCGAGATTCGCACATGAAGTAATTTCGACATCATGAGTTCAGGGGATTTTTAGTACCTACCTAAGAAGCTCTTGTCAAATGTGACACTAATTTGATTTAGAATTACATTTTTATTAGTATTCCAATCAGAAAGCACAAAATGTTCTGTTTTCACCGGAATAATTTCATTCTACCTGTCAACTGTTTTTCACTTAGCGCCTAATGAGAGAAACCCGCGCTCTGAATCGGTCGCGAATTGGACAAACGTGCAGAATTGCACGGCCCACAAATTTGCTTATCTTAACCCCCGCGGTTTTATTAGCACTAAAAAGTAAATCGATTTGGACTTTACCCTGAGCTGCATACAGAAAAAGGAAAACGTGTTTACTTTCGCCCCCAAGCAAGGAAGACGATGTTAGTTGTCGTACTGGTTCATTATTATCGGTCACGACCTAGGGATCGATCAGGGCAGCCAGCACTACTGAAAGTGTGCTCATTTAAATGTCTCGACTTGTTCAAAATAATTTCACGCCTAAGTATTCATTCAACGAATTTGAATTGTGTAAATGAGCAAATAAGCGACCCGCAGCGGAACAAAACGAAAGACTAATTTTGCTTAAAAGATCTTCTGATCTCGGGTAATGATCCAATTTGAATGAGCAATCTTTTATCGTCGGCAATACAAATGTAACGTTGCTTGTACTGTGGCGGGTGAAAAACTGTTGCAAAATACTAATTAGTAACAATCTTATTTATTTTACGACATGATCAAGACATTGAAATTATCACTTATTCACAGATTTGTTGAAAAAAGCTTTTAAAAGTATACGTGATCAACGAAACTTTGTTTTTACAATCATCATTCAATCATGACTGCCGGCGTATTTTTTATAAAATAATAGTTTTTCCATTTTCTTTCATAAGACACATGTTGTGTATACTTCAGTTAGTATTTGCCGTTAAATCAAACCAGCAGCTTTTCAAAGGTTTAAAAAAATACTTGCAAAGTTATTAGAAAATTTGATTAATCTAATCAATTTATTAAGCAAAATCGCATCGGGAAAATAGTACAATGTATATACATCTATCAAGTTTAAATATATATTTTTTTTGTCCATAATAGTGCAACCGAGCTATAAGTAATTCAATCGGTGTTCTGTTTTGGTTGAAAATTTTCTAAATTGAACATGGCTTGTATCTCGACTTTGAGCACATTTTGTACCTACATAATGCCGAACAATCAGCGAAAAAATATTGAGAAAAAAAATTTTTTGACGAAATCTGGAAGCTTCGATAGAGAGCCTGCATTGCTAACGGTCTCGAGTATAAAATGTACACACCGGATGTGTTACGACTTAACCGAGTTAGCTATAATTCGTGATGTTCAGGCTCGGCCTCTCATTCGTTATGGCCTAAGACATTACGGAAGCCGTCAAATTTTGTGTTAAGGACAAAATTGAAGTTGAAATGTAAGGTTTAAATTAAATTTAAAACAAACTTTCTCGCCGAAATCTTCACCGTTTGCGCAGTCCACAATCAAAATCAAAACGACTGAAAAATTGTACGAAGATGCTACATGTTACAAAATAAGTTCAATCACCATACTCACATTAGGAAAACCTTCACTCCTATTTCAGTCCGTCTCTTTTGAAGCAATTTCCACGAATGACGAATGAGTTCTTTCTGTTTTGATGTGTGCAGAAATTTATTTACGATCGGTGCCTCACTCTTAGACTTCTTGAGAGAGACCGTCGAGGCGGCGCACCCCATCGTGAAACTGAGACTCGTTGAATCTGATGAAAGTGCTGTGATCGAGTATGTACATATAAGTTCCCCTCTTGCGAAATCCGCTATGTTTCGCGTAGTGCGCAATTCAAGGTTTCACAAGGTCAACATAAGTTTCTTTATTGGTCGATTCTCTGTCAGTGTGAAATTACCCGACAGCACAATCAGCCAATAAAATAACAGGAAGGAATTAGAGATGGCATTTTAAAATAAATCATCAACTGTAACTAATATGTTTCATTCTTGCTAGGTCCCCCGTGCTATTTGAGAAAGCCCCCAGAGGAACCGCCTTTCAGAGTAGGTAATGAGCTCAAAGGTAACCGATTGAATTAAGTTTCTTCATGTGCCTAGTGGAAGTGACTATTGAAACACCATCCAGGATACTCACTACAACTCTTCTAACGTCATCTTAAACCTGCTCGACTCTACAGAGGTCTACAGAAGTAACCAAGGCGACGTCTGAACGCCAAATGTGCGAAGACAACTGCGAAAATGAATCAAATCGAAATACCGATTGAAAGTGAAAATTTTCCAATTATAGTTTTTTCATAACAACCTGAATTTGGTCACCACACGTAGTTTTGCTGATAACGGGTCAAAAAAAAGTTTGAACATATATCTGACGCGCGCGCAAAGCATTAGTTATCCATTGAAAAAGACAGCGAGCCCCAGAGTAGCCACTGCCTTACATTGAATTGGCCATTTTGCCCCTGTGTCAAAACGAGTCTTCGCGTGAAACCATTCATTTGGTTTCATGCAAATCAAACTCAATTTCATATGAAAGGTTTTGCACAAGGTCTCGTTTTGAAACAGAGGCAACCTCGAAAATCTATCCGCTTTTTTCCCATCGCCATTCCCGATTTGTAAGAACGCGGGAAAAGGGAGATGCTGGACTCAAAAGACCTGGGCACGAGTTTATGCACAGTATTTTCAAAATGGCGGTCGAATTGAAGGTCGGGTTTCTCGGAGGGGGAAACATGGCAAAGGCGATAGCCAGAGGCTTTATAACCTCTGAAATGGTCAAGGCAGAAAACATTATTGCAAGTGCTACCACTACAAAAACGCTGGCTGTCTGGAAGGTGAAATAATAAGTTGTTTCAGATAATAATGCGTTAGTTCTGATTGCACTGCGCGCATGTGAACAACGCTTCAGAAGGCAGCCTGTGGGCCTTTTCATTTGGGCCGATTAAAAAGTAGCCCTTTTTGGTTAAAAGTGATTCCTATTCAAGAAAAAACTGATTGACCCGAAGTTTTAGTTGCGGCATAATGAAATGTTCATGTGCGGGTAGTCCGTAACACCCGGTAACGGACATGTCTTTCTTGGTGTCCACGTGTTTCAACATTTTGACCGTCATAGGTTTTATCAACGTCCTTCATGTGTCGTCATTGTAACCATGTTGGTGGAAATTGGCAAGATATTTTTTGTTTCTCTACGAATATGCTTATTTTTCTAGTTCAGCTCAGGTTGCCCTATGAGTGTGATGGGGGTGGTAAAGTGGGGGTTGGGGTGGGGATGGGGGTCTAGATCATGGTTCACGGAAAAAACGGTTTTTCACAATTCGCAGAAAACTTGCAAAAAAGGAGGGACATCTTCACTTACACAACTAATGAAATTTTGCACAACCTCATTCCAAGGGTCTCTCTTCTTCCTGTCTCCTGGGGAGTCCTCCTCTCTTGCTCTGGGGGAGGAGGAGGGGGGATAGGGAGAGGAGAGACCCTGGAACAAGGTTGATTTGTGCAATGCAGGTTATATGCTTATCACAAGACAATGGCTGTCAAACACAATAGAAGACATAATCACAAAAATGGTTCATGGGGAATTATATGTTTGTTTCTCATTTTACAGAAAATAATTCCAGAAAATCACGGTTCAGGGCTACTAATGAAATCACAGTTTGTGAGGAAAAAAAAAACGAACCATTTCGCATTTCATGGGGAAGAAAGCTGGTGGGTGGATTCCCGAATAAAATGGACAGTGGTGCTCACTGGAAATTATTTCAAAAGAACCCTTGAGAGGTACCAAGACCCTGTTTTGTGGGCATGGCTTGAAATTTTTTCTCCCCTAAGAGGTGCGAATTCTTACATAACACATAATCTCCTGTCATATTTTTTTGGCTCAGTACCATAAAAGGTACAGCAAAAGCTCCTTCTGTGGACCTTTTGAGGCTAAACACCCTAAGACGTACCAAAACCACTTTTCGAACCCCTGAAAGGTATGGCAAGCACCCCTGTCCTTTTTGTTTGGGAGTTCTCCTTGGGGAAGAAATAGGGCCATTCAAGAATCACAAAAATACCCTTTTAAACCTTCTGTGATGATACGCACATGCCCAATTTCCAGGGCTGAAAATAACAGTTGGTCATCCGACATTGGCCATTTAAAATTTGCTCGTGTCTGATGAAATCCCAACCGTTGGTTGGGGATGATTTACGGACAATTTTTTTATTGTGAATTGTTTTACGGTAAGGATGAATAAAAATCTACCGTGAGTAAATCTTACTTTTTTCGGTGATGTCCGACCACAATTTGTTTTGTCTAACCAAGATGGTGTCTTAGTAGGACATATGTTCTTTCAAGAGAAAAAAAATATTTGCAGCCCTGAATGTCAGGATAAAATGTCTTCCCAAAGAACAAATCACAATCCTCTCAGTTAGCATTCAAACCTGACCTACTTTATCCATCTTCCAGTGGCCAAGTAGTTGGCCGCTGGACCTATCAGAACCTCCTGCAACGAGACAGGCAAGGTTATCTTCATGTCTCAGGAACTGGCCATTTTTGTGCTCTTTGAATCCCTTCTGTAAACCGAGATTGAAATACATTTAAACCTCTACTTATTATCACCTTCCTTATACTCAATTACTAGCAGATGTTTGATAAAGGAGCCTGCTCTCGTTCAAGAGGTCATACTCAAGAGAGTAGCACAAATTGAGCCCATACCTCCTTTTAATGGCCACGGTTTTTATCATCCCAGCCACTCAATAATCCCTAATCAAAACTTCCCAACAATAGTCACCTCTTTGCAGTGGCCACTTATTTCTGTCTCCATGCTGGTTACTGTAAAAGTTAAAGTCTGCATCAGTCCAAGCAGTCCATTCTGCAGTTGTTATGGAAATTGTTCACCATTTATGCTAGATCCATACCTGATGATTGATATNGCCCGGGACCCTTCCGAGCTGGAAGTCTTACATATCCCGGTTTTGGACTGTAGTCACGTTTTAAAAGCGAGGTACATTTTTCACAAAACTTTGCTTGTCTGAACTCTTTTCAGTTGAAAGACGAAGTTTGTTCGCCTGGTGGCACAACGATCGCGGGCGTACAGACACTTGAGAGAGCTAGCTTTAGAAGTGCACTGATCGACGCTGTGGAAACATCAACTACACGAGCCACAGAGATGGCTGCACTGCAAAAATCCCAAGGCAAATAAAGTAGACTCAAGCTTATAAGATAACTATAAATAGGTTCGATTGGTAACCGCTGTTCGGTAAAGGAACCTGCGCTCCTCGCGGACTCGAGCCTAGGTTATAAATTATAATCATAATAATAATGATGAAAACGATAAATAAAGAACACTGTTTGCTAATCTTATCAAGTGGCAGTTTCTGGCCGGATATTTTGTCTCTGACGCGTTTTATGATTGACACGGGATTAGCCATCTACGAGAAAATAAGACACTCATTACTGCTGGACAAACTTCCCCCCCTCCCCTTGCTTCTCTCGCCATCTGCGTGCGCTTGTCAAAACATTCTTCACATTTTGCATGTTTCAACTTCGTAATGGCTTTTTGACAAGGTTCCGTGCCGTTATAAAGCCTAAGAAACAATCCAAAATGTGTTTGCATTTGTTGAAGTAACAACAGGGGGTGTTCATTTGAATGAGACCACCAGAAATTCTGTAAAACGTCGCGTACGGTAGGTAGAATAACATCAAAACACTTCTCCTCGAGTGAGGAACAGCTTCGTTTTGCAACTACAGAGGTAGAGGTGGACATTGTTTGATACCGAGTACAAAGAACATTTGCGCTGTGTTTCAGTTCAGCCATAAATGAGGTAATTTTTCGTTTATTTGCACGTACTTAATGTATCTATATACCTTACTTACAGGTGAAAAGGTGTATTTTAACTAGCAGATGTTTGTTTTCGAAACGTGAATAATTCAGAACAACGTTTTTCTAAGTACAGATAAACATGCCAGTCTTGGCAAATTGCCCCCGAAACCAACATGGTTTTTAATGCAGTGCATTAAAAGGACAAGACACAGATTGAGGACAAGACATCATAGATGAGAATAATTGCCGTGTAAAGCTATACACGGCAATTATTTCACTTACTAATGGGTCAGTGTTGGTGTTTTTCGGGAGCGCGTGCAGTGCAGGAACAGTTAATAGGCTGATTTAGCAAGAGAACGGGGACGTCACTTGACAACGGCGCGCGCAGTACAAATACCCAAATATGGTCAAATTAGAACAGAATCCAGGTTATTCCGCGCCCCCTGCAGTCGTCATCTGACGTTCTCGTCCTGTTGTTAAATCAGCCTAATTCATCAGCAGCAACTATGCGTAGGTTTTCAATCTCTAAAGAGGCCGTTTTCATTTCAGTGGCATGACATTTTACATATTTTCGTTCATCAATACCACCTTTCGGGGCTTGAGAGTCGAAATAACCTGAAATTGATGCTGAAGTGAATTCTGATGATCGCTTGTAACAAAGGCCAAATATATTACATAATTTTCCTCCGTTAATTAGCACCGGGACCCACCGTTGGACAAATCAAAGTGGTCTATTCCCAGATAAGGGATAAAAAGAAAAAGGAAACCTATTGCTTTGTTTTAGCTGCTGGACTGCATTTAAAATGAATACCATTTTCCAGGTCTAGCTATGGTCTGACGTGGAACTTGTTACTGTTCGGTTGTATAATACGCTAGCATTCAGAGGTCAGTTTTTCTGTTTTTTTATTTGCATTGGGTTACTTTTGTCGGGCCTGTCGGTATTTAGAGTATGTCAGTATATGTGTAAGTATTATAAGCGTTATGTAGATTTATGAAAAAGTTTCAACACTGCGAATATTGGCTCGTACAACGCTTGGTCGAGACGGTGCCCCAAGATTGAACAACTGGTAAGTTTAAAAGACACTACACACTGGGATATGTTTGAAGCAACTTTAATCCCAATTGTATTGGCCCTGCGCTATAAAAGGCGAGTTGCGCCACACCGGCCTTGTTTAATGAATCACCATTATGCAACTCCTAAAGAAAAATTCATCGCCCGTTCTCTCGAGTCTGGTGAGGAGCGCGGGCTCCTTTCCCAAGCAGCGGTTGGTAATCGAGCTTAAGTGTCTTCCGGCGTTCCCAAACCATAGGGAAGTTTTGAATCTTAAGAGGATCTTTGAAAAATAATGCGGGCTACTCGTAATCCAGATAATAATTTGGGAAACTGGGATGGAGCAGTGGTGAGAGCGCCACCCTTGTCCAATACTGTCGAACAGATACGACCCGTGAATGGCTGAATACGACTCGTACGGGTCGTGAAACAATGGTCTACGAGTCGTACAGTTGGTGAACTGCAATGTGGCCCGGGTTCGGTTCTGGCCCGGTTCCCTGTGCGGCCTTAGTGTTTTGTTGCTTCTTGCCTAGCTCCAAGGGTTTTTCTCCTATTCTCCGCAAATTTCAAATATTTTCACTCTGCTGTAAAACCAGCTGAAGACAGACGGCAAAAGTTTACCGTTTGTCGTAAAGGTCATACCTAACCCCTCTATGATAAATTGTCAAGACCAGAAAGCTGATTTGTTAGGGGTGGCGAATGGTCTTTCAAAAAC